TTCACTGGTTATTGAAAAATGATAAAGTAAGGACAACATTCTCTATTATGCAGCCAAAGTTGCTGGTTGACTGAATATACTGTAAATCCTTACATTTTCGACTCCAGTGTGGGAGTCTGTCTGTTCCACTGATATCTCAAGAACCATAGGCTGGTTTCTGATAAAATTAGATACTTGGAGCTAATGTGCAGATTTGATTAGGTTTTGGTTTAAATTGATTATATTATTTTGCATGATAATTAGCTATTCCATGACTGTTCATGGAACACTCATACATGTATCTAAAGAACCACCAATTGGATTTTGAGGAAACTTGGTGCATAGAAGCTCTGGGACAATGTGCAGACCTGATTAGTAAGCACAGAGATTTACCCAAAACTAATATGCATAATAAGTTAATTTTTGGATTTTCCCACTGATATCTCAAGTACTAATCATCACATTACAATGAAACTTGTGGCTTGACGACTGAGATACATTATATCAGGCCTCGCCGAGCAGGTTCAATTTGTAGACTTATGGATAACGCAACGTCTTGTAGTATGCAACTCGTCAACAGGCTAAAGTTTGGAACAATACAAACAGACTACACTCTTTAGCTTGTGAAAACTCTAAAAGAAGAACGCAATTGAACAGGAATAAAGTTGGTGCCCTGATACTGATTGGCAGCCTCTTTCTGGTACCGGTCTCTGATTGGTCAGAGAAAATATTTAGAAGTAGTATTTTGGCATTCTCGCTGCATCCAGCGACAAAACTTAGTACATAGATGTCATAGGACAATGCACAGACCTGATAAGTTTTGGATTAATATGTGTGCATATTATTTGCCTATTTAGTACATTTTTGGCTTTTCTGCTGATATTTCAAGTACTACCCATTACATTTTAATGAAACTTGGTACATTGATGCTCTAGGACTAATTAGTTTTGAATGAAACCTGGTACATGTACATTGATGGTATGTGCATTGTGCAGACCTTATGTCCCTGAAACTCTCAGCATGTGAGAGTTTCTTTAATTTAGTTTGAGAGCATTCACAGAATCTTTTTGGTAAAAAAACCCACCGTGACTTCAGTCTTACAGCCTCCAGTAAAATGTACAGTTACAAAATTCCCTGTCTTGCAAAATGTGTGAATTGTATACTGATGAAATTCCTCACCTTGTTATGAGAAATGCTGGATCAGTTACAACATCAGGTCCTACTCTCACATGTCCTTGTTCAATAAATGTTGTAGCTATTTTTAATGACTGTGCCATCCTGAGTTTTAGCATTACAACAGGTAATCGTCTCCTACAAAATGATGATGCTGATACTTTGTCACATAAAGCTAGACTTTGTTTAGTTGGTATTAATCCCATACAATACCTGCAAGAAAAACAGACAAGATATTCATATCACACTGGGACATTAGCAGCTGTACAAGGGATCTAAACATAACTTATTACTATGTATACTAAGGTTTTTCACAAAGACGTGCATAAGTCAGATCCACATGTACATCATCAAAACATTGAATCCAGCACAATACAAATTACAATTGTAGGTGAAACTTGAATGC